CCATGTTATCTTACTCTGGTTTGAGTGAAGGGTTTTGGGGAGAAGCTATGTTAATGACTTGCTATTTGTTAAATAGGGTTCCTAATAAAAGGAACAAAACTACCCCATATGAATTTTGGTATAAGAAACGACCCAACTTAACATTTCTACGTGTTTGGGGCTATAGGGCCATGGTTAGACTCTCGAACCCAAAAAGGAAAACTTTGGGTGAAAGGGGTGTAGCTTGCATCTTTGTTGGATATGCTGAGCACTCCAAGGCCTATAGGTTTTATGTTATAGAACCTAATGACTCGATTTCTATTAACACGATTATAAAATCGAGAGATACCATATTTGATGAGAATTGTTTCTCTTCTATACCTAGACCAAAGGACTCTATACCTAATTCAGATGAATCTCTAAGGGATGATCATTCAAATGATGTGCCAAGTGAGACAGTTGAACCCCGTAGGAGCAAAAGAGCCAGAAAATCTAGATCTTATGGATCTGATTTTCAACTATATCTAGTTGAGGGATCAAAGGATCAGATTGATGCTCAATACTATTATTGCTATAGTATATAGGAGGATCCAAGAACGTATGATGAAGTTGTGAAATCTCGAGATTCTGTTTTTTGGAAAGAAGTAATTGATGAAGAGATTGGTTCTATCATGGAAAATAATACTTGGGTATTATCTGATTTACCATCAGGCTGCAAACCATTGGGTTGCAAATGGATCTTCAAAAAGAAGATGAAAGTCGATGGTACAATTGACAAGTTTAAAGCTAGATTAGTTATCCAAGGCTTCAGACAAAAGGAAGGGATTGATTATTTCGATACCTATGCTCCAGTTGCCCGTATCACTACTATTAGATTGTTGATTGCCTTGTCGGCTATTCATAATCTAGTGATTCATCAAATGGATGTCAAAACAACATTTCTGAATGGTGATTTGGAAGAAGAAGTGTATATGAAGCAACCTGAAGGATTTGTAATGCCTGGTAATGAGCATAAAGTGTGTAAGCTAGTTAAGTCGTTGTATGGGCTGAAACAAGCTCCGAAACAGTGGCATCAAAAGTTTGATGAGGTTGTTTTGTCTAATGGTTTCATTCTAAACCAAGTTGACAAATGTGTATATAGCAAATTTGATACACCCGGTAAAGGAGTTTTCATTTGTCTATATGTTGATGACATGTTGATCTTTGGCACCGACCAAAATCAAATTGATAAAACGAAGAATTTCTTGTCATCAAAGTTCTCCATGAAGGATATGGGAGAAGCGGACGTTATTCTTGGTATCAAGATTAAATGGGAGAATAAGGGGATTGTAATTACGCAATTTCATTACATTGAGAAAATACTCAAGAAGTTCAATTATGAAAGTTGTTCTCCAGTAAGTACTCCCATGGATCCGGGAGAAAAGCTTATGCCAAATACAGGTAACCTGTGGATCAACTCGAATATTCAAGAGCTATAGGCTCTTTGATGTATGCTATGATTAGCACTAGACCGGATATTGCCTATGCGGTTGGAAAGTTGAGCAGATTTACTATTAATGCTAGTAGACATCATTGGCATACGATAACTAGGGTATTCAAGTACTTGAAGGGTACTATGAATTATGGATTGTCATATATGGGATTTCCTTCGGTGTTAGAGGGTTATTCGGATGCTAGTTGGATAAATAATGCTGAAAATTCATCCTCTACAAGTGGATGGGCGTTCTTGCTTGGGGGAGGCGCCATCTCATGGGCTTCTAAGAAGCAAATGTGTATAACAGGTTCCACAATGGAATCTGAGTTTGTAGCATTAGCTGCTGCTGGTAAAGAAGCAGAATGGCTAAGAAACTTGGTATATGAGATTCCGATATGGCCTAAATCGATATCACCAATTTCTATCTGTTGTGATAGTACAGCCACATTGGCTAAAGCTTATAGTCAAATATACAATGGAAAGTCTAGACATTTGGGTGTTAGACATAGTATGATTAGGGAATTAATCATGAATGGGGTGATATCTATTGAGTTTGTTCGGTCGCAACAAAACTTAGCTGACCACTTGACGAAGGGGTTAGCTAGAGACTTAGTGAAGAAGTCGGTAATTGGAATGAGATTAAAGTCCATTTAAATCTATTAGCTGTGGTATACCCAATTCCCTTCTAATACAACGTTAGAAGCAAAATTCAATGTGGAAAGATCATAGTTAGAGATTGGAGCAATTGTGTTTATCTTCCCAAGGTATGTGCTCAGACCTGCAAGTGATGGCTAGGTTGAAGTATATCTTCTTAATGGTTCTTTTGGAAAATTTCAAATGCAGGTGCAAGATTAAAAGGATCACCTATGTGAGCATGAAGTTTTGTCGCTTCAAGAAGCTTGGACTTGGCTTCCTATATGCTTATTAATGGATAATGACACATGGCTTGTAAAGTGTCAAGTATGAATAGTAGAGTATTGTAAGAAACATATGTGTACTATATCTTCAGATATTCAAATGAATTGACGGGTTCAAACGCTATGACACCCCGATGTTCAAGTATTTGGAATGTGTAATTGTACTAAGATAAAAATTCAATTGTAAGACATTTTTATCTATGCATTTGTTTGATTGTTATACCTGTGTGTTATACCTTTCTATATATTATTGTATATATGGAGTAAATAAAGGATTACACTAAAATGGGGGGGGGGGGGATTTGTTGGTGATTTTAGTATCATCAATGTATTTTAGTAGTAATGTGATATATTGTAGGGCGATGCAATTATGCGTTAAGCTTGGAAACGAGTTAGGGTAGTGCGGAGTGCACGCTCGTCGAGCCAACGTGCAATTGAATGCGAATAATTGAAAAGGGGTTCCAAGGGACGGAGCCCCTGGCGGGGTGCGGGGCAGCGCCCCGTTCGAATTTTTCGAACCGTTGTGTCTTTTCAATTTCTGTTATTAATCTCCTATATAAGGATTCATTTGGCCTCAGCTTTAACGGACAGAATAACGAAAATCATACTTTCTCTCTACATTCCTGATCTGTTCGCTATTGCCAGAAGCATATTGTTCTTCTAGAATTATCCCCACAAAGATTTCGTAAACCCAGACAAATAATAGGGTCGAAATACTTTGTTCGAAAAGTGTACGAACATGATTCCTCGAAGATATCTAAGATTATCATACCAAATTTTCTAACATGATCACCTTATCATAAGACACAACCATTATTCATTCAATCAATCCCGTCTTACCATAAGACACCAATAAAATTATCAAAACAAAGTCAACAATGATAGAATTCAAACTCATTAAGTATTATCACAACAATCGTCTAAGAAGGTTTTGGTTAAACCTTCTTTGGCCACAAACATAAACATAGAGAATTAAGAAGAAGATACGAGGATAAGAAACTTTCACTATTTGATTTCTAAACACCCATATGTGAACAGTTTCTCCCACCAACGCACTCCTTCTCTCGATTACTTCCAACGTCCTAGATTTTATCTCTTTCTCCATTTTTCTCCAATTCACTTTCGGACTCTTTTCTCTTTCTATTCCTCTATTTAAAACAAATAAAAAAAATCTTATTCTTTTAATTTTATTATTCTCGCCATTTTCCCTCAATTTGTGTTAATTCTTCCTTCACCCCATTATTTCAATTAAAACTCTATTTTCTTCAAAAAAATCTCATAATTTTCTATTTTATTTAGTTAAAAATAATAATAACTCTACTAATTATCTGACACTTCCAATTTTTATTATTAGAGCACCCAATTAAATTAAACAAAATATTTTAGTCCTCACAGACAATTATATAAAGTATTTAAATTTAAAAAGTAAATAATTATAAAATCTGATGGGGAGTTATAAGTGACCTCCCGCTTTGACTGACGGGGATTTGTAAAATCGGTCAATTCTTTAGTGTATAATGATTTGATGTAATTATAAAATATATCTATATTCAGTGTATTTGATGTAATTTTAGTTACAATACATTATTAATTTCCTAAACACACTTTGATAATAATTATATACTATTAAAGAAAAAACATATCAATGAGAATCAAGAAATTGAATTCTTATAATATTCCCTCTCCTTATTGGCTCCCCTTTCCTCCAGAATTAAATATTAGTATTAGAAACAACCAAAGAGGTCTAACACGTCCTTAATCTATCCAAGACAGCAAAAGGGGTGAATAAAATGTTGTAATAGGCGTTTGCTTTCAAATTATAAAAAAATAAACAATATTATAACTTTCCCATAGTAACTAGCAATTTTCACATCAAATATTCTATTTCTCTCATAAAAATATCTTAATCCTTAACAGCATTATCAATCACCTCTTTAATCCCCCCATTTGAAGATAGAAATTCGCAGTAGTAACGCGATGCCTGATATTACATAAGTAGCTAAGTCAATGTTATCTAAGAGCTTACAAATCTTCTAAATTTTCTCTCAATCTTCATGTGAAAAGTGCAAAGCCATTGTTCATATGATTTCCTTTCCTTTTAAGCCGAAAAATAAATTTGAATTTTGAACTATCAATAACAAACTTCTTATCACATGATCAATCCTTCAACCTCGAATCATTTTGATTAATATATTGACATTTTCGAAAAATAGCAAAGACAAAGAAAGGAACAAAAAAAATTGCTAACATCAAGCTTGCATGTTATTGAAGGTTTATTCTTTGCATATATGATTTGAATTGGAACCTAACAATGTTTGCCAAACTATCATCACCGACCCACCAAACAACACTTTTTTTTGTGTGTGTTAGACTAATTAATCAGCGCAACTAGTTTATTGTTATGCACTTACAATCACTATGAGCAAAAAATGAAACAAAGAAAAAAAGCTAAAGACAAAGAAAGGGAACAAAAAAATTTTTACAACTCCAATATTTCTTGCTCATCAAGCTACATTTCTGTTGGAGGTTTAATTAGTTCCTTTCTTGTCAACAAAAATTTGAGTTATAGAAATTCATCCAACAACCCTTTCTCATTATAGAAGTCTCTCTTTTCCATCACATATCTCAAATTATTCTTCGAAAAAGTTTCTCGAAGATCGATATAGATCATAAGGAGCCCATAAATGGTCCACAATGCATGGCTTTCGAGAATCCAACCTCAACCATGGTTTACCCTTTCCACTCCAATGCAACAAACTAATAGGACCAGGGTGTAGGCTTCTACATCTACCTTCAAGGTTATCACCACCTAAACCATGTTGGTTCCATCTATGATCAACCGCTTTAATATTCCCTGCCAAAACCAACAAAAATGGTGGAAGAGAACCTAAATGGTATATCCTCTTACGTTGCTTCTGAACCGCCATCCATTCTTCAACTTTTTCTGTATATTTTTCTTTTCTCCATTTGTCCACATCCATCACCATTACACCAGTGTTGAAATAACAAGGGTTTCTTCCCTTAAACGTCTTCGAAAGAAAGGGATCCTCCCAAAACTCTTTCGTGAAATACAATGAGAAATTTGCATGGCAATATTCTGGTGCAGCTACTATTTTCCCTTCCATGTCTACACTCCAGAGTTTAGCTATATCGTCCACCACGACAAGGTCGGAATCTAAATATATAACACGTTGTACGTTCTCCGGTATTGTATCTGCAAGATATATCCTTGCATAATTTAGAGGCTGATCTAGTGCTTGTCGAATGGACTTTGATATCTTGCCGCGGACACGGTTAGAGTCGAACCGATAAATCGTCATGTTTAGATAAGGGAACGTTGTTCTTATGCTTGTGAATAGTTTAGGAGATTCATGAGCAGATAAAAAGTAAAAAGCAAGATTTTCTGGACATGTTGAATGTTGCAACATGGATAATACCGCAGCCATTGTTCCACGTAGGTAATTTACATCTAGGGTCATGGCAACGTTTATCCGATCGGCTTCTGAGGAGCCACATCCAACGCCGTTCCGGAAAGCTGGAGCTTCGCGAAAAGAAGGGAGGTCCGGCAAGGGTAAACGGACAAGGCCAAGGCGGATAGAGGTGAGGGGTTGAAGGAGGGACAGGAGGCTTAGGAGTAAGACAACTACTTTTGAGGTGGTGGTAAAACTCCAAAAGACCATCCTGTCATGAATGAAAAACAAAAAGGGTTAATCTTGTTTTGAAAGAATCTTAGTTTTGGAGATTTCATAAAACAATATCTGATAAAGAAAGGACATTGAGTCTTGCATGGGTGATAAGATTGTCAGTCGTGCAATATTGTGTTTGTGAGGATGAGAGAAACTTTCGGGTAATCTATCCTTGATTTTGACTTTTGGCTAATTTTGGATTCAATCTACAATTAAAGGGTGGTCAAAGTAGTCAAGAAAATTAGATTCTTTTTCATTTTATTCTCAAAATAGTTTTCTTTGTTTTTAGCTAATTAATGAGTTCATAACTCCTATCATAATATTAATGAGATGGATTTAAAAATTCAAGTACTTTGTTTAAGTTACATAAGCATAATAGATTAATTGGGGGTATGAGATCTATTTATTTTCTTCCGTATCTTTCATATTTGTTGATGCACAAATGTAAAGTTTATCAGTTTTTTAATAAAAAAAATTAAGTTTTATTAATAGCTAAACCAACAAGAAATACAGATATTATGAGATAATTGAAATAAAATATACTCTATGCATAGCCAATAAATATTTCTAAGAGAAAACACTACGTAACCATAATAGACATTATACATAGATCATTGTTCACAAGCTAAGGTACAACTAAACCAAAAGCAACAACAATTCTTCTAACAATCCACTCTCTTGAAAACACCATCAATAGCAACGTGGGTGTGAGAATCCACAGTCTTTTTTCAATTCAATTACAAATTATTACAGATGATATGTTTGACTTGTGCTTGCACATTACAAATTTCTTTAATCTCAATATTGCCCAAGCTTTTCAAGTGTTCACAAACTTCTAATAGATGACTAAAGATAGTGTTGAAATGGATGTTGGACTCATAAGCTCTCTCGGTCACTATGAAATACCAATAGACACACATAAACATGCTACATGACACAAAACTCTTTTGACACATTTTGTCATACAAATTTCCTCCTAGAAAACAAAAGTACATGATAGGAACAGAGAATGCGAAATTGAAATTAAACAGATCTATTAGAAAAAGTAGTTTCATACTGTAGAACAATCAAGGCGGTTTCGGTGGTGGACGTAAGTTTTCTAGCAACGAAAATGAAGAAGCAGCTACAAGAGAGAGATGTGCATTCACCATTACTGCTTTTGAGATGTGCAAAAAACTCATAACAAGCTTGTGATTTCTTGGTGGTGGTGGCTGAAAACACAGAAGAGGAAGCTTGGTGGTTGGGAATGGTGGAAAGAGGGAGTGTTCGCTGAGAGATTTAGTAATCGTGAGGACACGAGAACAAAGATGGGTGAAAGGAAAAGTGCTCTCAAAAGAGAGGAAGGTGCCAACCATAAAAGTGGAAGGAGAGGGCCCCATGGATATGGGAGGAAGCAACCAAACCTTAGAGGATTAGAGAAAAAATTTTCTAAAGAGAAGGGGAGCATCTCTCTCTACAACAAGATATTAATGTGTGTCAATTTTAAGCGCCAAGTTTATCATTAATTACAAACATACTAGATAGCTTACACCAGAGTATCAAATCTTAATAAACATACCCTAATCATAACCCTAAGATCTAAGAAGAATAAAAACTTAAAAATAAATCAAACATCTTTGGGAAGAGTTAGATGCTCCCTTAACAAAAAAACCAGAGGGAGTCAGTGTTAGGGGAAGATTTTCACTAGGGAGCATTGAACCTTATGAGACTTTTCTTTCTAGAGCAACACCTTTGTGAGAGACACGCCACATACTCACCCAAAATCTTAAGGTGATAGATTTGTGGGTTCTCCCACTTATAAATGCTCAAGTTACCACATTCCTATTCAATGTGAGACTATTATCCACACTACTCATACTTATTATACTTAACACACCCCCTCAAATGTGAGTCAATCCACAATGCTTCCACAATGCTCCCCCTTAAGCAGAAGCTTCAATTGTGCAACTGCACTTTTTGTTGTGTGTTTCTTGCTAACCGCCATTTATACTCTTCAACAGGACACCTTCTAACCACCACCTATGGAGAGTACTTTCGATACAAGTGAGTCGGTCCTTCACTAAAAAAAAGACTCACGATACCACTGTTAGGGGAGATTTTTCAACTAGGGAGTATTAAACATTGTGAAACTTCTTCTTTTTAGAGCAACACCTTTGTGAGAGACACACCACATACTCATCCAAAACCTTAAGGTGATAGGTGTGTGGGTTCTCCCACTTATAAATGCTCAAGTTACCACATTCCTATCCAATGTGGGACTATTATCCAAACTACTCACACTTGTTATACTTAACAATCAGTTTTCCAAAATTATTGGAGGAGTTGGGGAACATATTCTACATACTCTCAACAAAGATAGAACCATAACTAGTAAGGACTTCATAAACAGATATTATAGAGAAGATCACACATCTTTTATTTTGTACCAAATAATTCTATATGTGCTGAAGAAATTTTTCACTTAAAAATTTCACTATATACCTTATAATTATATGTTCATAACCGATATGGAGTGATTAGAATGGATCTCGTGACCTTCAATGTAGAGCAGCAACAGTGATTATAGGAGAGGAGGGAGTTGTACCTGCAAGGTACTCCGATGTCAAAGTAAGTTTGGACTAGAGAGAGAGCAAGTACAAGTGTTTAGGTATAAGTTAGAATGATTTGAATACCTGACCCTCTCAAGAGAGAGGGTATTTATGAGACTCCCCCAGCGCGGGGCCAAGGTCTCCCATATGGCTGAAATACTTGGTCGACCAATGGGAGACTGCCAGGTGGAAGATCTAGTGTGTGATCTTTGACCTAGTCCAACTGTCTCCGTGAATTCCTAAAGGGCAATTGGTCGCGTGAACTGTCAAGCGCATGAGGGTGATGTCTCCAACGACTATATTGTACCCAACAGTCATATTGTGCCCAACTACTATGTTGTGCCCAACGATTATATTGTGCCCAACAACTAGATTGTCTTAATCTCCTTATTAGGCCTTGCCTAAAGCTGATTTGGATTGGGCCTTTCCCAACTGTGGGTCATGTGACAGTCCAGTCCAGAACAGGATCCCCTAAGTCGTTGCTCTGAGGTGAGGCGTAATGACTTGAGTTAGCCTACCTAGTCGACCGATGGGCAGGAAATGCGTCATGGGGAGACTTTTTGAGGTTCTTATCGTTCGAACGAAAGTCTTCGGGGGCGTGTCTGTTAATTGTCTATGGTTAGTGTGGTCGACTGTTTATTGCTTATGGTATTCCTTAGGATGTGATGAGGTGTTCGCGGAAGGGATGTTTTACATCAATCAGACACACGCTTTGGGTAGAGAAATTTCCTGTCGATGCGACTTCTGCTGGGATGATATCTTGTGCCCTGTCGAGGAGGATGTGCCCATGGGAAGCTAGAGGGACTTGTCCTAAGAAATGTAATGTGTCAACCTTGAGAATACCAACCGAAAGATTCCCCTTTTGACACGTGCGATAGTGTAATCAAGTTTTATTAAGGTCTAAGATATCTAGCCTAGCTAGGCAATGATGACTCTTGCCCTTTGCGTTTCTCTATGCGAACAAATTCTTATAAAAGGGGGAACGAGGATTCAATTTTCAAACATCACGCAAATTTCTCTCCTCAACCTCATTTTCTCTACAAACATTGTGGTTTGCATTCTTCACCGGAGTTTTCTTTTGCAGTCGTCAATCCTCCTCTTCTTCCTCCAAATATTTATCTTCAACCTTCTGATTCAAGTAAGTTCTTCACGTTTGTTTGCTAGAACTTAGGGTAGTTCATAATTTTCTGGAAACTAGCTTGAATTCCCCGACGATGCATGAGTTTTCTGGTTGAAGTTCATGTGTCCTTTGATGAACACATGAAATTTTTGGGAAATTCATGAAGGCCTTGAAGAACATGAATCTAGGATGTTGCGTAAGACTGTAGATCTTCCTAGGTTTTTGTTTGAAACAAATTATGTTCGTGGTTGGGCATTAGACCTTCTTGACGTTAAGAATTTGTTCTCGCGTGCCCGATAAGTTTTAGTTGTTGAGGGGGGCTTGTCCCCCTTGGAGCCTTTTAGAGTTGCAGAGACTTGTCTCGGTTCTTTAGGGAGGGGATTACTCCAAGTCCTATTAATGTCGACAAGGGCTTAAGTCGAGGACACGTTCTCGTGCTTATTCCTCGCCCTTTCACTTGATTCACGGTGGAAGGATGGATTTGATCTCTATTGTCAAATTCACTTTTCCTTCCTCTACTTTTCAGGTGAAATGGTTGGTCGAAACGAAGAGATCGTCCCCGATGTAAGGGTAGCTAACAATAAAGATGTGCCTCTTGTCGAGTATGAAAATTCCAGGGTTGCTCAAGGGGATCTTAGCTGGATTACCCAAAAACCCTTGGTGACAAAGTCAACTTTCACCGAGGAGGAAGCCAACTCTTTTACTCTTCTTAAGGATCGGGCAGAGGATGCGCCTGCGATCCGGAAGGCGATCAGCCATACGGAAAATGATCAGATATGCTCGATTTATCCGGGGAGAAGGTCTCCAATGTACGAGTTTGCTTTCAAAGAGGCGGGGTATCGTCTACCCTTCATTGATTTTCAAGGGGCAATTTTCTGTCACCTCGAGTTGTCCCATGCCCAGCTTCACCCGAATGCTCTGACGTTCATTCGGGCTTTCGAGCTGGTGTGCCGGTACCTGAAGATCGGAGCTACTGTGGAGCTATTTTCTACATTTTCCAGTTTCAGAGGAGCACGGCTGGTTCAAAACAAAGTTGGGTGTCCTTCAAACAACTGAGAAGGTTGTTCTGGCCGTATTCGAAATCTATTTTAAATTTCAGTTCAGGTTCTTGGTCGTGAAGCCTCTCTCGGAGGCGGCCAAAAATTCTCTGGTCACCATGGAAACCGTGGAGGAGGATGGTCGGGAGGTGATTAGATCGGTGTCAAAGTTTCCACTGGAGTGAGTGTTTTCCCATTTCAGATATAGAACCGACCGGTTCATCGTAAAGCTTGACCAGCTAAGTACCG